ATTTTTATCGAGACACCATCTCTAGCCTTTACTCAACCAAGAACCCCAAGGCAGGGGATGTTTAGCTGGATGCAGTTAACATCTGCCCAAGATGAGTGTTTTTATCGAGACACCATCTCTAGCCTTTACTCAACCAAGAGCCCCAAGGCAGGGGAATTTTTAGTCGGAGTTTATTTCTCCCAGCCTTTGCATAAGAAGAGCACACTCTGCAAGGCAGCAGGGCTTGTGGCAGGTGGTACTGAGTTATGTGATACCAGTAGCAAGATTGATCTCGATTATCCTGACCTGACCTTGAGTAGTTAAAAGGAGCTACTTCCCGCAACAGTACTTTGAGAAAACCAGGCATGACATTTTGGAAGTGCATAAGGAAAAACACTGCATCTAACAAAATACAGGAGTCTAAGGTGAGTGTACGTTTTGCAGTTGGAGTAAGTAGTTAGTTACTGAGCTCACGCTGCATTAGAGTATAAACAGAACACAAACAAACATAAATCAACTTACGGGTGAGTCAACACCGCGCCAGAGGTTCAGACAGAACACAAACATACATAAAAAACATATAGTAACTTACGGGTGAGCGAACACCGCGCCAGAGGTTCAGACAGAACACAAACATACATAAAAAACATCAAAAACATAAACATAAACATAAACATAAACATAAAGTAACTTACGGGTGAGCGAACACCGCGCCAGAGGTTCAGACAGAACACAGACATACATAAAAAACATAAAGTAACTTACGGGTGAGCGAACACCGCGCCAGAGGTTCAGACAGAACACAAACATACATATAACGTAGATTACAGGTGAGCTAATACAGTAACTAAGGCACCTCCAACTATATGGGGAAAAAAAAAAAAAAAAAAAAAATTTACTATAGGCATGACTGATATAAGATAGTACTGATGACAGGAAGAACACTCCTTCCAGCCTTTGCTTAGATAGCAAATCCTGCAAGGCAGCAGAACATGGAACAGGTTGCACTGGGTTACATGTTACCAGTAGCAGGATGATCATGAAGACCATCAAAATTTTGAACTGATTTTTTTATTTAAGACATTGACATTTTTTTATTTAAGATATTGATGTTAATTTTCAAATAAAAAGGGTAGTTAAGGCAGAATATGCCTACTTTTGCTGTTTTATTGTGTTAAATAGTATTAAATTAATTTTGCCACGTATTATTTAACTATAAGTATAATTAAATAAAACACTTAATTTTTTTTATCATTGAAGATTTATCTTTAATTGATTATTAATTATTTAAAATATTATAAAAGTTCGTTAAAAATTTGTTTGATTATCATCATTTTTAAATCATTTTTTCCATTGTAGAAAGTGAGTCAAATAACCTTTTTATAGAGATTTCTTAGATTTTTTGATGATTTTTCCCCAGCTTTTTTGTAGAAAATCTAGCTTTATCAACAGTAAGCAGTCTATTCTAAATTTCTTCTTCTTTATTATATCTGTGAACAAACTGTGCATCATTCCTACTGTTCTTTCATTCATCAACTAGAGATTTAGAAAAATCTTTGAATATTCTAAAACATGATTGTGTGCACCAATACTGAGGTGGGAGGGTATACCAGCCTTTAATTCTTGGTTTATCCAACCCAATTCTATCAAACATCAAATAGGAGAATTGATCAACTAGTAATAATAAACTTGGGGGATCATTTTAAACTCTCTTTTCAATCATAATCTTGTTTGCCACTTCAATGAGCAATCTGTTGTCAGTTTTAAAATAATCAGAATTTGGCATGTCATATTGAAGCATAACAAAGGCAATCTTCCTTTTTTTCTTTGTTAGAAACATCTTTATCCAGCAAAGAAAAAGATACAATCGCATAATCTAGATACCAGGAATTTTTATAAAACGATTTCAATACTGCTTCAACTGCGTCTGGTTTGGCACAAACCTCTTTGTATAGATGCATTTTATGTATTCATAAAATATCTAGATATGGTGCTTTATTAACCTTATGAGATTGTAAACACCATTTTGCATAAAAACATGCTATTTCCACCATGATACTTATTTCTCCTAAAAGTAGTTATTTTTCGTGAACAAGTTTAATTTGATTAGAAAGAAGTTGCAACTTTAGATATATATGGCTTTTTGGAGGAACCTTGCATGGTGGACAGCTCCTAGTTTCCTAATTTTTACACCTTCAGAAGACAAACTAGCTCAGCTAGTTCTTTTCTATCGTCCCTCAAAACTTTTTCACTTTTAATATCTTTTTTGTTCTTTTGCACAAATTTAGAGACTTAACTGCAGCACATTATATTACAGTTCTTTTTTTGTCTTATTTCAAATAAATCTCGTAGCATTAGTATTATAATGAAAACCAAGAGTTTTAAATATGTCTTTTAACATGAGTAAATATGAGTTTTTTAAATAAAATTTTTAAATATGAGTTTTTTAAATATAAGATTCTCTGTTCCAGATGTCTTTCTTTGAGTCACAACATTACAAAAGTGAACAATCTTCAGCTCTGATATGTGGTGTCTACAAGCAAGAAATAATAAGTAGATAAATAGATTTTTTGCTATTCTAAAAAGGGAACCCTTTTTAGTTCCAGTATTACAGTATCAAAGCATAGCCCTCCAATGTTTCCTTTGGTTTCATATTCCTAAAGGAATATGAAACCAAAGGAAATCACACTTTTATGCTGATCCTACATCACACCTTTATCCTACCCTGAGGAAGATGCTAAAGAAGATAATCTGAGAAGATAAACCTTTCCATCAATATTTAAATGAACTGCTAATTTTTCATTTTTATATTGCTTGCCTTTTTTTAATTCAAATAAGATTTTGCCATCGAGATTATATCACCATTTTGCTGCAATGTAATTTACCATCAAAATGAATGATAGGTGGATATTTTGAGGCTTTTAAAGCAGTTTTGATGTTATTTCTGGCTTGTTTACTTACTATTAAGTTTACTTTTTTCATATGTGACGAGGCTGCTGGAATGCTGCAATGTAACTTACTTACATCCACACCAGCTTTATGAACAACAGAAGTGACAAATTTCTGGAGAACTGCAGGAGATATATCATTGATTGATGCTGCAAGAGCAACACTAAAACTGTAAATATCTTTAGGAATTGTGCACATAATTGGTTTTTCATTATTTTTTCTTTTCTCCTAGTTCAGCCTCCAGGTTTAAAGTCTCAATCATTCAACATTTCTGTATCATTTTCATCTACAATTAGTTCCTGATCTAAATTTACTCTCTATAGACATTTCACTATATTTTTTATTCTTGGTATTTTATTTTATTTATTATAATCTAAAGGAGTGAAATAGTTATAGCCACACAAATATAATAAAATAATAAAGAAAAAGAAAATAGACCATAAAAACAAAATAAAAGTGTAAAACAAAGTATTTCATCATTCTTCTAACTCGCGGCAAAATAATTCTTTTTTTTTGCAACTTTTAACACTATTTAACACAATAAAACAGCAAAAGTAGGCATATTCTGCCTTAACTACCCTTTTTATTTGAAAATATATATCAGTATCTGACTTATAAAAAAAATCAGTTCAAAATTTTAATGTTATTACGTCCCCATTATTGTACCTTTTTATTTAAATAAAAGGGGTCTGGGGAGGCACAAAAACCTCCCCAATATTTAAAACTTAATAAAAAAAAAAAAAAAAATTCAAAAAAAGTTTTAAAAAAATCTTAAACTAAAACACAAAAAATAAAAAATTAAAAGTTAAAATTCAAAGCACTATAATAACTTTAATCAAGTTTTTAATTATGTTTAGAATAACATCTTATTTTTTATTTTTACTAGTGCTTTTTTATTATTATTTTTTTATTTCAGAAGTTAAGTTAACCCCTCAAGGCTCTGAAGGCCACTACAGTTGAGGAGACTACTTTAATTGTGGTTAAAACCTTCTTTAAACTCTTTAACTCTGAAACACGAACCATAACGAACAAGAGTGGTGTGCAGAGAAACGAGTTAAGCGCTGTACTACCTGGGACTTATAAGGCAAGCGGTATACCACTACACCACTACCATATAACACCACTACCAAAATGGGAAACCTTTTAAAATAAAAATCATATATTAATTTTGTTTGAGAAATTTGACCTGAGATCTTTTAGCAAAAAAAAAAAAAAAAGCAATATTAGATAGGAAGGATTAGATTCCAAGTGAGTAAGATTAGATTCCAGGATTAGATTCCAAGTAAGTAAATGACTCAAAAACGATTTAAGACTAATAGTAAAATATCTTATACTCACACTCGAGTGAATGAAATATTTTACAATTAATGATAAATGATTTTTCTCTAATTATTTTATTATAAGGTCTGGCAGACAATCATATAGTTTATTACAAAGTTCAGCCTATTAAAATAATGGTCATAAAATTAAATCCACTACAAATATTGCAATTATTTTATGTTTATTCAAAATAATGCAAAACAATACATTACAAATATTTTTTTCTGTTTTTCAAATAGAGAAAACATTAACTACTACTGCAGTTATCATATTCAATCAATATCAAATAGAACATCATATGTTTTTGAGGACAACTTCAATTCTTGTTGGCATACTTTTGACTAATATTTTACATTAGCTCGCTAAGAGTTTAATACTATTGTCCGAAACCACTTCTTCTTCACAGAATGCGTGAAACATGGAGCCAAGTCCTGCTAACGCCTTTTAATGGGTTTTGAGATAATAACAAGCAAACATATTTATCACAAAAAAGTCAAAAATGTTTCTACTAATCTAATGAAATAAAGTTCAAATGTGAATTGGTTATAATCAACTACAGTATTAAACATAAAATGAGCAAAACATTTTGTGTAGGTTAGACTAAAATCAGTCAAAATTTAAAATATTTTGGAAAGGTGGATTTAATTTTATGGCCACTATTGTATATTGTGCTAGCAGACTATAGTAAAGAATAAATATTAGAAGCTTTTTAAAATGAATACTTTTCTAACTATAATTTAAGAAAAAATTACTTTAATAGGAGGCTTCCCAGTCAAACTTGCTATTAGAAAGTTCATGGCAATATCTTCACAGTTCATATTTTGATCAATATATTCTTTTGCTTTTAATGGAAGTTCATAAGTAAACTTATAATTGTATATCTAAAAAAAAAAAAAAATTATAAGTTAACCTGGTAGTAACAAAATTTTTTATATATTTTAAAAAATAGATTAAAATAAAAGTAAACTTTAAATGAAGAATAAAAAAATTAACCTAATGTCAACTGTCACTAATTTTTATATAATTTTTATGTTTATTTTTATATCTTAACATTTACATACAAGTAAATTTTAGTATTTACATACAAATAAATTTTAGTATTTACATACAAATAAATTTTAGTAATTTACATTCGAATTAATTTTAGTATTTACATACAAACATATTTAGATAAGATGTGAATATGCAAAAGCAATTTGTTTAAAAAAGAATTATTCTAAAAGTTATTTTTACCTTATGATAAAATGCAGCTCCTGTAAGTACCATCGAAAGTTCGTTTTGCCATTCTGATTCATACTTGTACTTCATTTCATTTCCATTTATCAGTTCTTGAGAAGAGCGTGGAGGGAAACCAACTAAACGATCAGGAAATTCACACCATGTCTAGATAATGTTATAAATAATTATTTTTACATACTTTTTTTACTACCCAAATGAGGCAACCTACAGTTAAAGTAGCTATTCTTTTTTTAAATAACAGTATTGATGTTTCAATTTTATTTCAACCTTTAAAACAAAAACCAATAAAAAAAATGCTGCAGTGCTGAGAATAACTGTTTTTTTATTTAAAATATATTTTTTTAATTTTATGCCTTACATACTTTTTATAAAAAAAACTGATTAAATTTAAATTTAATCAGTTTTTTTATTTAGTTTAGAAATCTAAATTTAATCAAATTTTACAACTTAACAAAGCTAATCCTTTTTAAATGTAAACCCGCCCTTTTTTAGACAAAATCTGAAATACCGCAGAACTATCCTAGTTGCAGTGCAACACTTATTTTGATATTCTAAAAAAAAAAAAAAATTAACCAATCCTAGAGGAAAACCTTATATTAAAAATGTTATATTGTTGATATATTTGTTTTAACATACTATCGGCTAAAATGTGGTCCTATCGACTTGACTGATGGCATGATGGACAAAAATATGAACAAGGATATTATTAAGGATGTTAAACTGTCACATGCTTAAGACAAAATGTCTTAAGAATGAATACTTCAGCAGAACAATGACCCAAAGCAGACCTTTGCAAAATCCTGGCTTCAATCCTATTAAACATCTATGGGAACACCTCGCTCAACAAATTTCAGGTCAAAAACCAACATATAAAAAAGATTTATTTAAAATTCTAAAAAAAAAATAGGAAAAAAATTGACATGAAAATTGATGTGATTAAAAAGCTTGTGGACTTAATGCCTCGTCACTGTCAAATAGTACTTGATTCAAAGTACTTCCTCACAATTATTTAAAAATTCTACTTTAAATTAAAACATTTTCAAAAAAGCTAAAAAAAAAGTTCAGATATTTTTTTGTTTTCTTGAATACTTAGTAAAATTAGTAAAAGTAAAAATTTATTTTCACTTTTGAAATCATTCATTTTTGACATTCCAGTGAAAATTTGTAAGACAGACTTTTTTCAAAAGTTATGTTGATTTATGCTATTGTCCGGTAACTTTTGCACATTATAGTAACTGTAACAAGCTAATTATATATTTCAAAAAATGCTATTACATATGAAAAAGGACAAATCATTTAATTTATTGCATTTAAAATTAAACTTTTTAACTTCTAACTTTAATTCTTTGAAATCTTGTGTGCAAAGATTTTCATTAAATTAAATTTCTATATTTAACTTTATTCCAGATAACTTTTTATATCAGTTTTATATTCATATAATTCATTTTTAAATAATTCAGTTATTAGAAAATCATTACTAAAACACTAGAAGTTAAATTTAACAAGATTTTTGTAATTTATTACAACCCAATTATCTTTAAACTAAAATATTAAAAAATTTTCAAAATTCAAACCAACAAAAAACCTTTTTTAGCGTTTAAAATTTTACAACTTTAGTTTATCTGGAGAAAATATAAAGATTTTAATATGCAATGATATTAAATTCACTTATAATGTTGTGATATAGTAAAATACTGAATTTTATACACAATGCTGTTACAAAACAAAACAAATAAGATAATAAAATAATTCTTAATAACATAAGAAGTCATTTTATGTTACTGAAAGTTTCTTTAATACATAAAAATATAAAAAATAATTTAAAAAATTAACTTAATATTTAAGTACTCTGAAAAACATCTCATACAATCCTAAGAATGTTAGTATGCTTGGAATGCTAGTAAGCTATCTAGTGGGACATGTTTAAGAGATTTAAAACATGTGTTAAAACATAAGTATACTTATACGTCTTATGCCTATTGGATATGTATGCTGCTATGTTAGTTGGATTAGAATGCTGGTACGCTGCGAATGCTGGCAAACTACACTGGTACACTAGGTATGCTAGTATGTTAGTACGATTGGAATGCTGGCATGCTACGAATGCTGGTACACTAAGAATGCTGGTACACTATGAATGCTAGGAACTATAGCTAGGTAATCTAGTATGCTAGGAATGCTAGATTACAACTTAACATATTATATAATATTCTGGTAGTTTACTAAAAATGTACTATAAAAAACAATATTCCATCAATGCAAATGTTTTGCCCTACTCATAATTTGGTTCGCTGATGTGTAAAAGAAGGGATGATCTGTATAAGAAGGGATGATGTGTATAAGAAGGCATGATGAGTAAAAGAAGGGATAATGTGTATAAAAAGGGATGTGAAGTATAAGAAAGGGTGATGTGTATAAGAAGGGATGATGTGTATAAGAAGGGATAATGTGTATAAGAAGGGATGATATGTATGAGAAGGGATGATATGTATAAGAAAGGATATGAAGTATAAGAAGGGATGTGAAGAGATGAAACTTTAAACAAATCTTAAATATATTTATAGACTAATCATTTATTGCAACAACATCATAAATGCAATCATCTACTTAATGCAGAATTGTTTACCCATGTGGAGAAAGAAAAAATTAAAAAAAAAAAGAAATGATTGAAGAAAAAATAAAAATAGACAAAAAACAAAGTACAAAGTTGGAATAAAATTTGTAAAACCTTATTTGCCAAAACTTTAATTATTTTAAGTTTTATTTATTCACTGTGCGGTTGTTGACCATTGATTGCTTGTTATTTTGTATATTATATGTATTTTTCTATATTACATATATATATATATATATATATATATATATATATATATATATATATATATATATATATATATATATATATATATGATACTTTTTCTTCTGATCACTTTAAAATAAAAAAATCTCTTTTTTAAATTATAATATTTTTCCAACAACTTGCTGTCATGGCAAGTGGTTCTAAAGACTCACCAGTGATCCATGAGTCCTGATAAATTAAATTTTTTATTAAAAAAAAAAATATACATTTTCAATAGAACCTTGAACAAGGCTGTCCCCTAATTAAAAAACCTTGACCCCTTTATTCATATCTTGTCTCTGATCCTAGTTTGTGTTCAGTTTCTTTTTGTTGTCCTTTAGGGAGTTTAGACAATGTTATGATATCTTTAAATCCTTTATCGGATACTTCTATATAAGACTCACCCTATCATTATTACTACCTTTAACCTCCCTATTAATTTTTTACTACCTTTAACCTGCCTGTGCTTAAATTAATGGATAAATAAAAGGCTGTCGCCTTTATTTTATCCAATAATTTATGCACCTCCAACATAATCTTGAGGGTGCATATTCACCAAACTTTCGTAACTCTTGTGTAGCTTAACTAAGCTTATAAAAAACGTATGTTCAGGGTTGTTTTCAAACTATTTGGTACTCACCAATGCTTTTCAGCATTTCCATAAAGTTTGGGTTGCGCACAAATTGCGCTGAATTTATGCAAAAAAACAAACAAACAAAAAAAAACAACCAAGTTGATTTTTTTTTTAAATAAACCAAGTTTTTTAATTTTATAAAACAAACTTTTCTAATATTGAATTCATATAATTTCTGACAAATTAAATTAGGGATTATATTTTCTAATTAATATTTTTTACAGCCTAATAAAACTCTGCTATAAATCATCATAAATAGTGTTTTTTTAAATACAAATAATTAAAAATTTGTATACTAATTTGACATGAGCATGGACATACTTAAGTTTGGAGTTTGCATAATGCCTAAACAAGTCATATATAAAACATCAAAAAAATCCTTGTAACATTAGCTGATGTAACATTCAACAATACATTATCACCTTCGATTTAAAAACAAAGTTTTAATTAGTGTTCTTTGTACAATGCCAATTTGAATTTGTTGACTTTTGTTAATTCAGCCTGAACATTGGGTACATCATCTTCATCATTGTCCTCAAAGTTTATGTCATCTGGAATTTCTAAACTTAAGCAAAGGTATTCCAGTAAATTGCACATAAAATATATTTTGCAATATTTTGTTCGGGTCAGCATATGTTAGGAGCACTCTCTTGTGACCTCCAATAGTTTTTGAGGAGTGGATCAAAGGATTGATCCACTTTTGAGATGATCAAAGGATTGCTTCACATCTACCTGAAGGTAAACTTTTTTGAAATATACTTTCTCTAGTGTAGTTGGCGGATTAAATGGTGTAATCATGACTGTTAACAAGCAAAAGGAAAATTAGGATTATATATTCTCTAGTGTAGTTGGCTGATTGAATGGTGTAATCATGACGGTTAACAAGCAAAAGGAAAACTCCATTAGGATTATATTCCAATATCTTTTTTAATTCAGAATTAGTAAAAATAAAAATCTTTATCCAGGATACTATTTGACAACATCTCTGAAAAAGAAAAAAAGCTTTCTTTAAGTAAGTAGTCGATAAATCAATTCTTTTAAACTTTATTTGTAACACTCAATTAATAACAAGCATATTAATCAATAAATGATCCAAAGATATACTTTTTTTGTTGCTAATTTTTTTTTTCAATTGACTAGTAATTTTTACCAATAATTCTTTGAAAGTTACTTTGATAAAAGTTACCAGTTACTTTGATAAAACCCTCATTGATATTAGCGCTTTTGCTTCTGAAGAAATTGGGTTGCGTTTTTTTCTCAACGTGATTAGTGACAAATCATTGTTAATGTGTTGACAATATCTCTATTTTTAGACAAATGAAATTTTTGAACACATTCTATATCAAAGTAATCAAAGCAACATATTAAGCCTAACGCCAGATTTGATCATGGCCAAATTAACTAAATTTCCATTTAAACTAAAACTAAATAACACAACATATTGAGCCTAACGCCAGATTTGATTTTGGCCAAATTAACTAAATTTCCATTTAAACTAAAACTAAATAATTTAAAACAACTATTAAAACAACGAAATGAAATATGATCATTACACTTAATGAGAAATGTACCATTTAATAAAATAAAATAATTATAAAGATATAGTTGCTTTTTTGTTAATATAATAATTCAACAATTGTATACATTTTATTTTATATAACAGTTTTTGTT